CCGTCCGTCTGTCCGTCCGTCGTCAACATGTCGGACATTAACTCAAAAATGCTTTAACCAATTTGCATAAAACTTTGGTGAATTGTTTATATCTATTGACGTGAGCTCCTTTTCGTTTTTTATAAAATTTAGATTTTACGTTTCCGAGTTATGGGGTTTTATTCATTAATAAAAGGGGGATTTTCCAGTTTTTGGACAATAATTCAAGAATGCTTTCACCAACTTGCAAGAAATTGTGGTGAATTGTTTATATCTATTGACATGAGCTCCCTTTCAATTTTTATAAATTTTAGATTTTACGTTTCCGAGTTACAGGGTTTTATTCATGAAAAAAGGGGGGATTTTCCAGTTTTCGGACAAAAACTCAAAAATTCTTTCAGCAATTCTTATGAAACTTTGGTGAATTGTTTGTATGTATTGATGTAAGCTCCCTTTAGAATTTTATAAATTTTACATTTTACATTTCTGAGTTATGGGGTTTATTCATTAAAAAAGGGGTGATTTTCCAGTTTTCGGACAATAACTCAAAAATGCTGTCACCAATTCTCATGAATTTTTGGTGAATTGTTTATATCTATTGATGTAAGCTCCCTTTTTATTTTCATAAATTTCTAATATGACATTGAGAATTAATTGAACTTTATTTGTTTATAGTCTGACAACAGATTTACTAAGTATTGCAAAACAGCAAGAAATCTTTAATTGAATATAAATTCAATTCATATAACCAATTTCAAGATCTTTGACTACATTTATTCAGAAACCTATAATATGTCAAATATTTAATTACAATCCAAATTGGACCTGAATCAAGCTTGAATATTGTGTCCATTTTTGCCCCAACTGTTCAGGGTTGGACCTCTGCGGGCATATCTAGCTGCGCTCAGCGAAGCAGTTTATTAATTCTGACTCAGGCATAGGGCTAGTGGCTTAAGACACATACTGGTGTATGAAAGAATGAAAAATACATGTACAATAGATGTACATTTTTGGAAAATATCATATTTATTTGTACAAGCTTTAGAAACTGGAAGAAAAGCAAGGCTCACAGACCTATTCTCCTGTTTCAACGTGAGTACCAATAAATTTAATATTTTTTTATCTACACTGTCTGTATATTGTTTTTATCCTGTAATTTATCATTGCACTTAAATGTTAAATTTTTTTAATTCCCAATCATTTAACAAAGAAATCAACATTGCTTAGATGCAGACACACTGCTAAGAAGCCACCAAAAACGAATTGTGACATACTCAGTAATTTGAACATATTTGAACAAATTGTTTGTTAGCAAAGCAGAACAAGATTAATTTGTGTATTGACTTTCAGTTCAGTATCGCCTAACAACATGTACAATCATTTCCTTTGAATTTTTAATAATCTGTTCAATATATTAAAAATCATAAAAGTCTGCATAATAAACATCAATTAATAATTTAGTGAATTAAGGTACTAAAGGGATATAGAATTTATGTACACAAGGAACAGTCATATAAAAGAGGGTCTGCATGGGTGGTCCTTCAATTCTCTATTCTGTTCTTTTTATACGCCCGTTTACGGGACATATTATGGTATACCGTTGACCGTCTGTCCGTCCGTCCGTCCGTCGTCAACATGTCGGACATTAACTCAAAAAAGCTTTAACCAATATGCATGAAACTTTGGTGAATTGTTTATATCAATTGACGTGAGCTCCCTTTCGTTTTTTATAATTTTCAGTTTTACCGTTTCTGAGTTTTGGGGTTTTATTTATTAAAAAGGGGGGATTTTACAGTTTTCCTACAATAACTCGAGAATGCTTTCACCAACTTGCAAGAAATTTTGGTGAATTGTTTATATCTATTGACATGATCTCCCTTTCGATTTTTATAAATTTTAGATTTTACGTTTCCGAGTTACAGGGTTTTATTCATAAAAAAAGGGTGATTTTCCAGTTTTCAGACAATAACTAAAAATGCTTTCAGCAGTTCTCATGAAACTTAAGTGAATTGTTTATATCTGTTGATGTAAGCTCCCTTTAGAATTTTATAAATTTTAGATTTTACATTTCTGAGTTATGGGGTTTTATTCATTAAAAAAGGGGGGATTTTCCAGTTTTTGGACAATAAATCAAAAATGCTTTCAGCAGTTCTCATGAAACTTTGGTGAATTATTTATAGCTATTGATGTAATCTCCCTATTGATTTTCATAAATTTCAAATATGACATTGAGAAGAAATTGAACTTTATTTGTTTGTAGTCTGACAACAGATTTACTAAGTATTGCGCAACAGCACAGTGTATTGCACAACAGCAAGACATCTTTAATTGAATATAAATTCAATTCATATAACCAATTTCAAGTTCTTTGACTACATTTATTCAGAAACCTATAGTATGTCAAATATTTAATTACAATCCAAATTCAGACCTGTATCAAGCTTGAATATTGTGTCCATTTTTGCCCCAACTGTTCAGGGTTGGACCTCTGCGGGGGTATCCAGCTGCGCTCAGCGAAGCAGTTTATTTAAGCCTGTACAAATTTTGCCCATTATTCTCTATTCTTTATTTTTTATGCCCCCGCCATAGCGGAGTGGGCATTAAGTTATACCCTTGTCCGTCTGTACGTCCCGAAATTGGTTTCCGTTCTCTTACTTTAGTTTGCCTCAACCAAATATTATTTAACTTATACTCAATGCTTATTACCACAAAACACAGATCAAGTTTGAATTTTGGTGGTGTCACTTTTACCATTCTAGAGTTATGCCCCTTTACAAATTGAAAAATTGCTGAATTTTTCGTTTCCGTTCTAACTAAAGTTTGCCTCAACCTAATGTTATGAAACTTATACACAATGCTTATCACCACAAAAACCCGGATCAAGATGAATTTGGGTAGCGTCACTTTATCGGTTCTTGAGTTTTGTCCCTTTATAACATTGTATGCAAGCAGGGGCATCATCTGTGTCCCATGGACACATTCCCCATTTATTTGGCCTGTTTTCTCTATTTTGTTTTTTGGCCAATTATTCTCTTCTCTGTAAACCCCATTGACAGACCCTCATAGAATACTACAGCATAATGATTTTTTTTGCAAAAATTAATGTTTTTGTTGATATATTTTTTAACTTTTTCTTTGAGGAGGCATTGATGTTCAGAATTATGTTATCCAGATAGTCCACACATGTCAGTAGGAGTAAGACTGCATATAGCATAGACCTATGATGTATACCCTTTGATTATCTTTATCAATGCCTTGAAACAAACTTATGCATGAGTAATTATAGAAATAAGAAATGAAGGATTCCTACATATTCTCATAAAATACAAAATATATATATACTAAAATTATGTTATACCACTTACTGGCCATCAGGAATAAAAAAACTCAATGTATATTTGATAAGAGAGAAGAATGGTAACAGCCACAGTCTTGTTTCCAAAAACATATGTTTTTTATACACTGTGAATTTCTTTATTATTTTTTGGATACCATTTTTTCGTGGATTTTGTGGGAATAGGTGAACCATGAATATACATGTTCAATGAAGTACAAATTTTCTATAGTATAAGCTTGTATTCAGACTATGGCAAAACCACAAAATCAAATATCCACCAAAATTGGTACACACCAAAATAGGTACACACCAAAATTGGTACACACCAAAATAAATGAATCCACAGTATATATATAAGTAGCCCAAGAAAATAGTTACCAGTAAAAAGAATTATCCATTACTAGCACACATTTTTATTTAGGGGCCAGCTGAGGACCACCTCCGGGTGCGGGATTTTCTCGCTGCATTGAAGACCCATTGGTGGCCTTCGGCTGTTATCTGCTCTTTGGACGGGTTGTTGTCTCTTTGACATATTCCCCATTTCCATTCTAAATTTTATTGAAGAGGAATTATTGAACTGATATTTTTCTAGGCAATAGAAAAGAATGTTTGTGGAAAGCTCACATTAGTCATACTGACTTTCTTACCTTGTAGATCTATACATCATGCTATACTAACATTATATAGATATACACATCCTTTTTGAATCAGTCATAAAGTGTACCTATGCATATAAGAAAAATACTTTGTGATCCATAATTACTAAAAAAAAAATGTAATTACAGTTAAGATGTTTATTCTTTTAACAAACGATGTATATGGCCACATATATTTTTTCTATGACAGGTAAAAACTGCAAAGATACAAATAAATGAAACAAAAATGTATAAGTATGATTGAAAATATTCTTCTTTTTATTTTGTCTGCCTTAAAGCTTGAGGACCGAAAATTATGTTATTGTGGCCTTACATCATAGTTTCATATTTCAGTGTCATCCAATTTGTAAGTGGAGAACATTTGGTTTATATAGAATGTCAAATATGTTTTACTTTATCCCACGCTACTAGTATAAAAGTCAAAAAGATATGATTATTGAAGTAGAGAAGTTTTTTTTGTACTGTATTGTGTTTACCATAGTAGGCCACACAATAATTTTTCTCAAAAATTATTTTATATATATATATACACATACATTTACCAATGCAAATGTTAGCAAAATGATAGGAACTACTTTTAAAATTGCTAAAAAATTTTCATGTTTGTTCTGAAGTAGCATATCATAATCCAAGTTTTATGGTTGTAGCAATAGTATTGAATGTTTTGATCTGCATGATCAACACCAGCCATGTTACATGTGTAATAATCAGTCATTTTCACTCCAGCCAGTCAATGAACAACTTCATCTTCTATTTTGAGGTTTTAATCTGCTTAAGGGATAGGATTTTGTCTCAAACTGAAAGTATACAAAAATAACAAACAAATAATAAGTCCTGTTTCAGGTTTATCATCAATATGATTTAAGGATTTAACTGTACAATATATGACTTGTGAGTGACATTACTGTTCAATACTCTTGATCAGATTATAGTTAGCAGTTAAGCTTGCCAGGTTACATTTTATTTTACTTCCTTGTTCACAAAGTATGAGTACAATTAATTGCAGTAATAAAAGTTTCTTTGAACAGCTTCAGTGGCCAGAGGTAAGTGATTTTGTGGGCTGGTGCTATTTATGTAGATTATATTTCTTAGATATCGAAAAGTGAGGAATCTCTTGTTTTTCCATGCTTTCTGCTTAGTAGAAATTGATTATCTCACATTTGCTAGGGATTTCTGATAGGTTAGTCCTCCCATTTGCAAGAGAATTCTGATAACATTCTGAAAATAGCTTTCTTGTTATAATATCAGATGGTTAAAAGACACATAGTCACAAAAGGTAAAATATTTAAGAGAAAATTCTGGGTATAATTTCTTTTTATTAAATAAATACATTATGCAGTTTAAGAAATTTTTTATCTATAGCATGGTTAAATGAAGATTTATCACATTTTAATCATACAAAGGATATATATCTTTACCAGTCGTTGATCAAGACATTTGGGCAGCTTGTTTTATTAGTAATAATTTGATCATTACTAAATATTTTACAATAAACATGCATTTTGTCTACAAAGTTGTTTGATATATAAAAGTTTTAAAAAAATACAAAAAGGAATATAAAAAATAGAAAGTCTTATATAATTCAAAGAAAAAAATATCTCAAAAATGAATTTTGACTTTAATGATCATGTGTCTGACTGTCCTATATTCATGTCTGACATATTTGGATTTTGAAATAAGTCTTATCCATAAGATTGTTATTTACATTCAAGTTTGGACTCGAAAAGCACAAAATTAAATATTGTTCCAGGGAAATTTGTTTTGAAATTATCATAACTATCTACAGTTTGCCTTTTGTTCTTGATTTTAATATACACTTTTGATTATGAACCCTTGCAAAAAGGTGACATAAATATAATTTTTGATTATGGATACTTGCAAATGGGTGACAATCTATGTTTGATGAAAAACAACACCAGTACTATATCATAGGCTAGAATTAATATGCAGTATATGTATTGATATTATCAAAATGTTTATATTTATATAAGAAGAAAGCTGCTTTTGTAAAGCAGTGAAAAGCTGGATATCTTGTTCCATTAATTAATTCTATTCAGTTAGATCATATTATTAAAATCAGAAAAATGGTTTCAATTTAAATGTATTTTTACTGAATTATGTGATATTAGTTGATTTGAGATAAGTTTTTAACAGAATTTAAACAGCAATGTGATTATGTAAGATTTTAATGTACCAAAGTGGAAAGTTAAAAAGATTCATACATTTACGTATAAGTTAGAAAATTTTAAAGGTTTCAATTTGAAATAAGTGATTAAATCTTCTGTTCATGTATGAAGTTTATGGTTTTTATACGACCGCAAAATTAAAAAATTTTTGGTCGTATATTGGTATGACGTTGGCGTCGTCGTCGTCGTCGTTGTCTGGCGTCGTCCGGCATCGTCCGAAGACACATTGGTTTTCGCACTCTAACTTTAGTTTAAGTGAATGGATCTCCATGAAATTTTACCATAAGGTTCAATACCACGACAGGAAGGTTGGGATTGATTTTGGGGGGTTATGGTACCAACAGTTAAGGAACTAGGGGCCAAAAAGGGGCCAAAAATAAGCATTTTTGTAACTTTCAGACAATAACTTGTGTGTAAGTGTATGGATCTCTCTGACATTGTACCACAAGGTTCCATATCACAAAGGGAAGGCTGTAATTGATTTTGGGGGTAATTGCCTCAAAATTTTAGGAATTAGGGGCCAAAAAAGGGGCAAAAAACAAGCATTTTTCTAGTTTCATGACAATAACTTGTGTGTAAGTGTTTGGATATTTCTGAAATTGTACTACAAGGTTTCATATCACAAAGGGAAAGCTGGAATTGAGTTCGGGGGTAATTGCCTGAAACGTTTAGGAATTGGGGGCCAAAAAGGGGCCAAAAATAAGCATTTTTCTAGTTTCAAGACAATAACTTGTGTTCAAGTGTATGGATCTCTCTGAAATTGTACTGCAAGGTACCATACCACAAAGGGAAGGCTGGGATTGAGTTTGGGGGTGATGAATCATAAGGGGGTTCAAAAAATTAGGGGGGGGGTTTATTTTTTTTTTTATTTTTTTCCTTTTTTTTTTCTTTTAAAATTTTCCATTTTAAGTTGGTTATTTCTGATTTATATTTAAAAGCAAATAATAATGATATGGTAGGAGATACACACCAAACAGGATGTGTAAATTTTTATATAATAAGTATTGTGCAATAGCAAGAAATTTTCAATTGCACAGTTTTGCACAATAGCAAGAAATCTTCAGTTGCACAGTATTGCGCAATAGCAAGAAATATTCAATTGCACAGTATTGCGCAATAGCAAGAAATATCCAATAGCACAATATTGCGCAATAGCAAGAAATTGTCAATTGTACAGTATTGCGCAATAGCAAGAAATATTCAATTGCACAGTATTGTGCAAAAGAAGATACTTCTTATAAATTGCTTATTTCTTGATCAATTTCAATGGGGTTTTATTCTTGAATTCTTGGGGTTCTTTAATATGCTGAATATAACCGTGTATTAAGTTTTGGATTTTGGGCCCCGTTTTTAAATTGGTCCACATTGAGGTCCAAAGGGTCCAAAATTTAACTTTGTTTGATTTCATCAAAAATTGAATTTTTGGGGTTCTTTGATATGCTGAATCTAACCGTGTATTTAGATTCTTAATTTTTGGTTCCGTTTTCAAATTGGTCTACATTAAGGTCCAAAGGGTCCAAAATTAAACTTAGTTTGATTTTAACAAAAATTGAATTTTTAGTGTTCTTTGATATGCTGAATCTAAACATGTATTTAGATTTTTGATTATGGGCCCAGTTTTCAAGTTGGTCCAAATCGGGGTCCAAAATTAAACTTTGTTTGATTTCAACAAAAATTGAATATATGGGGTTCTTTGATATGCTGAATCTAACTATGTATTTAGATTTTTGGGCCCCGTTATCAACTTTGTCCACATTGAGGTCAAAAGGGTCCAAAATTAAACTTTGTTTGATTTCATCAAAAATTGAATTCTTGGGGTTCTTTGATATGCTGAATCTAACCATGTATTTAGATTTTGGATATTGGACCATAATAGGTGAATGTCCAGTTTAAAATTTTTAAGTTCTTAGACCACATTCATTCTGTGTCAGAAACCTATGCTGTGTCAAATATTTAATCACAATCAAAATTCAGAGCTGTATCAAGCTTGAATGTTGTGTCCATACTTGCCCCAACTGTTCAGGGTTCGACCTCTGCGGTCGTATCAAGCTGCACCCTGCGGAGCATTTTATTATTGTATTGTAAATGATCAGGGTAGTTGCTGAAATTCTGTTACCAACTTTATATTAGATCTTTTGGGATATTAAGGAAGACCAACATTGCATGATAAATCTATTAAAGTAATCGATTCAAGTATGGAATTATTATTTTAAGAATAATTACAATGTTGAAAGACATAGATCGACTGGAAATTATGAGTCCCCTTCTTTGATGATCATATCAGACTAGTTTTGTATTCTGTCCAGTCCTCAGTCAGTCTGTCATACATGTAATTGTTTTCTGCTCTTTTTTCTCTAGTGCCTATAAGTCCATTCATTCGTTTTGTTTCAAGTCAAATCATAAGAAGATACAGTCAAAGTTTGAGTTTTGTTCCAGTTGAGTGATTTTTGTTGAAGTTTTTACCTTTTTACATAGAAATTTGCCAGAAAATATCAATTAATTAAACATTTGGTATAGAGTCATATAAGAAACATTTACAGATCAAGATTGGGTTTAATTCTTGAGTTAAATTTTTGTAGAAGTTGTAGCACTAGGACATTTGAACTTCCTAGGAAATATCAGTATCTAAGAGAAACTACCTCCATTCTTCTGAGGTTTTGTTGGGCTAGCAGTTGTTGATATGAACAGTTGTAACTCAGGTTGCAACTCCCTCAGGCTTAATTCACCATGGCTGTTTTGTTTATTCCTTTTTGGTTTTTATGCTGTCAAATATTTTATATATTTTGGCTTTCCAAAGTAACCATGGTTATTTTTGAAGCATGTGTTCTGCTCAAGTAAATAGGTAATCACAGTTGTTTTTACCAATGCTTGGTTGTTACCACTACTGGTGCCCTGTAGCCAGTTTATTGGTACTGTCATGATACATTTTTACTGTAAATTTCCATTAAATAAGTTTCACTAATTGTACTTAAACTAAAGTTGCAACTCTCCTAGGCAAATTTACCTTAAACAGTTTTAGCTGTGTAAGCGCTTTTTGTTTTATAGCTCTCAAAAAAATCTTTCTTTGTTTTTCCAAACTTTTGATGTAGAGCATTTTTGATGCAGATTCTTTTAGAAACATTTGCCATGCACACTAAAATCAGTTTTACTGTTTTTAAAAGAACTGAAGTTGACAATACATTATTTTAATGTTTGTGTCCTTCTACAATTCATGGATATATATCTCTTTTTGGTCTAATAACAAATATTTCCGTCTTTTTTTTTATAGCTTTATTGATACAATAAAACATTAACAATAAAACATTTTATTGAGGAAATACCTATAGGTAGCTAGAGAGATTAGAAGTACTTTATGTTAACAAACTGTTGACACACAAATATTTTGATTTTGATAGTATAATGCAAATGTTGCAATTAAAATTGCAATATTAAACATGTAAACTATTCCAAACATTTTAAGTCAATGAACCATCGACGATGAGGTTTTTTTTAACGACCTTGACTACCCATGAGGGTCTTACACGGTCAGCCCTGGCTTGCGCCTTTTTGGGCATTTAAATGATTTGTTTTTACCTTATGGTAATTTATATAATTTAGAGTGACAATTAACATAACATGAATAAAAGTTAAGTGAACAATAATTTATGAAATAAATAAAATAAAATAAATGAATGAATAAATTGTAGAATAGAAAATAAAAATAAATATAACTTAAATGAATAAAAGAAAAGAAAAAATAAAGGTTTTTATAAAGTACAAAAATAAGAAAAGGAAAAAAATAATAATAATTTAGGAGCCACCAAAAGCCAGAACAGGAGAAGCGGCCAAACAAACGACATTGAGCTGCAACAACGTTGTTACAGTACACCAGCAGCCAAGTAAAGAGTGGAAAATTTTGATATACCAAATTGTTTATGTGAATTTGGTTGCCAAATAATTTGTATAAACCAAAATAGGCCTAAATATGTGTATGTGAATTTACAAGAAAAATAATTAGTATAAGTTTTGTATGTACATAAAAAAAAAAATATTGGGTAAACAAAATAAAATAAAATAAATGAAAAACCAAAGGGTGTATGTATAATTTTGACTGCTTTGTACTAGCCTACTGTTATTGAGGACTTTAAAGTGCTAGTACACTGGAACGCTCTCCGCAGTAAGACAAACGCCCCACGCTAATTACAACTGAGCCAAATAATCTGCCAATGCTAATACAACTGCATACCAAATATCATTGACCTACCACTAGCAGTTCCTCGTTGAACGACTTAATCACAAACTTTAATATGTAAACATTTAATAGACCATGACTGAGAGGGCGGGGCCAAATAATCTCTATGGAAATGATCTGTGTCAATGCTAACACATCTGCATATCAAATATCATTAACCTACCACTATTGGTTCCCCATAAACTGACCTAATTACAAACTAATACATTGTTGACGCCGTGGGAAACAGCCCACACAACTTCAACCAGGAGAAACAAAAAAACAGAAAATCTATTCTGCGGTTGCAGATATTTTCATCTACATTACCAAGGAAATGTATTTGTAATCCCAATGAATAAGTCCTTAAAATAAAAACAAGTAATTTAAACATGAAGTTGCTACATGTTGTACATATCAATATTACACTGAAAGGTTTTAAATACCACAAGATTGACAAAAAAAAGGAACAAATTACAAAATTTTACATGTAAAGTTAGCTTTTTTATAAATTTTATTTAAATGAACTTAAATTTGATGTTTTTATTGTGCATAATTAAGTGATGACAAATTTAGGGCATGCTGTTACACATCTGTGTGTGTGTGTCCTTTCATTGGTTGTGGTTTGAAACTGTCAGGATTTTTTTTTAAATAGAAAATGAAATACATTTTGTACATGTAAATGTAAATTCACATCATAGTACTCGCAGAGGTATGATATGTGAATCAAATGTATTCTATGCTTTTAAGTCTCATGTTTTGAATAGTGTGCAAAGTTTGTTCCTTAATTAGTAGTTAATTTTGTCATTTTATTTGAGAGTTAGATGAAATTGCAAAGCATTGTCAAATAAGCTCCTGTGATGATTACATTGTAATTTATTGACAAATTCATTTACATTTAATTTGTGTATACCATTAAAAGTAAGATGTCTTTGAAAAAACATTGAAAGATTCAAACATATGTTGCCTCAGATATTTATATAAATATATATAAATATGTACTTTAAGTATCATTTTGATATTACATGATTTCATCCCATTATTGTTCCACTTGAATCATGGAAAACGAAGATGGAGAATGCCTGTCATTTTATACATTACTTGAGGTATAATTCACTTGCATGTGGTTTTCTTTTAATAAACCCCAATTATTAAAATAGTTCATCTGCTTTTAAATCAATTAAGGTAAGGATATATACTGTTAATTAAAAAATTTCAATTCAACTGTTTAAGTTGTATGAAAAAAAGTTAAACGCTTTACATGATATTAATCTGGCATTGTTATTGAAGCTGGACATACATCATGTAGATAAATTTGTGCATTAAATTCTGTACTTAATTAAGAACTTACAAAATACTTTTTCTCACAGATAGATAGATATAGGAAGATGTGGTATGAGTGCCAATGAGACAACTCTCCATCCAAGTAACAATTTATAAAAGTAAACCATTATAGGTCAAGGTACGGCCTTCAACACGGAGCATTGGTCACACTGAACAGCAAGCTATAAAGGGCCCCAAAAATTAATAGTGTAAAACCATTCAAACGGGAAAACCAATGGTCTAATCTATATAAAAACGAGAAACGAGAAACACGTATGAACTATACGTAAACAGACAACTACTGTACATCAGATTCCTGACTTAGGACAGGTGCAAACAGATGCCCGTTTTGATAGGTGGGGATATTTTTTGTTTCACAGATAATTATTTTTTTATTCTTCACAAACACCAAATAAATCTGTCAGAGGAATTTTGTGTTTTTTTGGTTGTTTTTTTCTTTCTTATTTACCCCCAAAAAATATGTACAATGTACCTTGAAGGAACATGTTTATAATGACACATATATACCCTATATATTGAATTGTTTTTAACAGTTCCAATTCAGTCACTAAATGAGATCATGTACAGTGTCAGTATAAATGTTTCTTTCTGAATACCAATTTTATGAGATGATTGTATGTTTTGCAGACAGCATTTGTACGTGGACACAGAAGAACTGGAAGTGACGTACAGTTTATAGAAAGAACTCGACAAGATGCTCAGCAGTCCATGAACAAGGAGCTTCAAAAATTAATTTTGACTGCTCCTACTTCACAGCAAGATGTAAGTATTAATAAAACTTTTAGAATTCAAATGTTGTGATTTTATTTTACAAGAGTATGTACCTGGTATGTCTGTCCTAGGTCCTGCATCTGATAAGTTTTATTAGGACCATATTTTACTTAGGATGTCTGAATGATCTTTCTAAATATTCAGTTTGCTTGAATAATGATAGATTTATTGTCATAATATTTGAAAGTTAAAATTCACTTTCTTCTGACTAGATAAATGAATGATAGTATATAGAAATAAAATTGAGAAGTCTAGAGAAAAAAAATTGAAGCTCTGTTTGATGTCTGTGACCACTAGCATTTAAGGATTTTTTTCTACATATACATCATTTAGTTTCTGTGAATTAACATTGGTAAATTTTGATACTTTATCCGAAATTTTCCCCATGGTATTATCTCCTCTTTTTTAAGGATAATTAAATGATGTGAATCAGTCTTAGGGTTTTATCTTTTTATCAAAGATAATTGAGTCGATTACTTTCATTATTTTTGTTGAGCCTGCGACTTTTGTCGCAGAAAGCTTGACATAGGGATAGTGATCTGGCGGCGGCGGCGTTAGCTAACTTCTTAAAAGCTTTATATTTTAGAAGGTGGAAGATCTGGATGCTTCATACTTTGTATATGGATGCCTCATGTTACGAAGTTTACATCAGTCACATGTCCAATGTCCTTGACCTCATTTTCATGGTTCAGTGACTACTTGAAAAAAAAGTTAAGATTTTTTTGTAATGTTAAATTCTCTCTTATTATAAGTAATAGGATAAATATTTGGTATGTGCGTACCTTGCAAGGTCCTCATGCCCGTCAGACAGTTTTCACTTGACCTCGACCTCATTTCATGGATCAGTGAACAAGGTTAAGTTTTGGTGGTCAAGTCCATATCTCAGATACTATAAGCAATAGGTCTAGTATATTCGGTGTATGGAAGGACTGTAAGGTGTACATGTCCAACTGGCAGGTTTCATCTGACCTTGACCTCATTTTCATGGTTCAGTGGTTATAGTTAAGTTTTTGTGTTTTGGTCTGTTTTTCTTATACTGTATGCAATAGGTCTACTATATTTGGTGTATGGAATGATTGTAAGGTGTACATGTCTAGCTGGCAGGTGTCATCTGACCTTGACCTCATTTTCATGGTTCAGTGGTCAAAGTTAAGTTTTTGAGTTTTGGTCTTTTTTTCTAATACATGTACTATCTGCAATAGTTCAACTATATTTGGTGTCCGGAAATATTTTATGATCTATATGTCAGTCACGCAGGTTTTATTTGACCTTGACCTCATTTTCAAGGTTCATTCCTCAGTGTTAAGTTTTTGTGTTTTGGTCTGTTTTTCTTAAACTATAAGCAATAGGTCAACTATATTTTTTGTATGGAAGAATTGTTAGCTGTACATGACTGCCTAGCATTATTCATCTGACCTTGACCTCATTTTCATGGTTCATTGGTCAATGTTTAGTTAACTAGGTTAATGTTAAGTTTATGTGACAGTTGTAATAAAGCTTTATATTTAGGACTATCAACATAATATCAATGATAAGTAAAGAAGGCGAGACATTTCAGCGTGTGCACTCTTATTAAATTTGAATTTAACTTTCCTGCTTGTTTAGTTTCATCTTCTTAATAAATATAGATTCTTACATTGTTATCAGTGGATTATCAGATTTATCCAATCAGACAGTTAAATTATCGAATTTTAAAAGTCTGAGCTTCGAGGAGGACTTTAAAATTCAATAATTTAACTGTCAAATTTGGATAAATCTGATAATCCACGAGTAACTATGTAAGTATCTGTTTCTCTAATGATTTTCATTCCTAATTTCTATGAAATACGCTTACGAAATTGATACAAAAACACTTCATGTATTCATATCTGGATTAAATGGAGGCAAACATTAAAAGAGACGTGACATGATTTTGAATAATAAAATAAATCAATAAATATTAGTCTTAAAACATGTTTCATGTAATTTGGGTAGTCAAAACCTTATCAATCTGCATTTTTAGGACTTAGAATCCCACGCATGTGAGAATCAATGATTTTTAACTAGATGGCAATCATGTGACTGTGATGAGGTCAATGGTGCCTAGCCCAGAAAATGTCTCAAACTGGACAATGTAGATCACATTTCTGCACTTTTACACAATGTACAGTGTTGACAGTAGTTTAACTGATAACTGTTGAACTTAAGACATTTGACCTCATCAATTTGAGCCAATGAGTTTGTAAAATACTAGAAAAATACTAAAAAACCAAGAAAAAGACATTAGTACTTCGTATGAACAGACCAACATCTACAATTTTTCAGCCAATGCAAATTGGATTGTAATCTCACAGATAGTTCTTCTGAGAATTAAGTTTAAAAAGGCCCTTTCTGTGGGTTTTTCTTCTAATAAAACTACCATTAGTATAGAAAGTATAAATTTGGAATTATCGATGATAAAAAATAATACACAGAAAATATTTTTTCTCTCTGTTACAGTAGCGTTATAGATGTGCACTAGAAGCAGAAAAAAAAAACAAGAGTAAAACTCAAATAAGACGTTCGATAAGGTTACCCTTTTTTATTTTATCTAAGTTTTTTTTTTTGTTATACGGAGGTTTTTTTTTTATCGACATGCATTATCATTTATACCTCAATATATATTTTTTGGTTGAAAACCACAGCTCACACTTAGACAAAAAAGACCACTTTTAATCTAGATCATTGCATTTAATGAAATATAAATATTCATATTTAGTAAACCACTTGAACAACAATTTTTGAAGGTGCAACAAATTCTGTGTAGTAAAATTTTTTAAAAAGTTGTCAATTTCTCTTTCTCCTGAGAGCTGATAAAGGTTTTCACTTAACCCCAATCATCTACTGAGATCATAGGCAACCACACATTGATTTTTTTTTTTTAACAATGGGTTCAGAAAAGGTAAAATTGCCAAAGAATTAGAGAATATGAGTTATACATAACAAATTTGTTTATATGGCATTATCCAAATTAATAAATGAAGGATGTCCTTTAATTTTTTTGTAACCATGCATTTTTTAGAATAGAAAATAATTTTCCTCGTATAACTATTTAGAAAAATTGATTGAATATTATTTTATACTCTTGTAAAAAGTATTTTTCACACAAAATATTCCATACTCCTATAGAAAAGGTCATATAACTCACAAACTTGTTTAATCCTGCCACATTCTTTATGTGCCTGTCCCAAGTCAGGAGCCTGTAGTTCAGTGGTTGTCGTTGGTTCATCTGTCATATTTGTTTTTATACCACCCGTATATTGGTATGACGTTGTCGTCGTCCGAAGACACATTGGTTTTCGCACTCTAACTTTAGTTTAAGTGAATGGATCTCTATGAAATTTTACTATAAAGTTCAATACCACAAAAGGAAGGTTCAGATTGATTTTGGGGGTTATGGTACCAACAGTTAAGGAATTAGGGGCCAAAAGTAAGCATTGATTTTGGGGGTAATTGCTTCAAAATTTTAGGAATTAGGGGCCAAAAAGGGGCAAATAACAAGCATTTTTCTAGTTTCAGGACAATAACTTGTGTGTAAGTGTATGGATCTTTATGAAATTGTACTACAAGGTTCCATGTCACAAAAGGAAAGCTGGGTTTGAGTTTGGGGGTAATTGCCCTAAATGTTTAGGAATTTGGGGCCAAAAAGGGGCAAAAAAACGAGCATTTTTCTAGTTTCCAGACAATAACTTGTGTTCAAGTGTATGGATCTCTCTGAAATTGTAATGCAAGGTACCATACCACAAAGGGAAGGCTGGGATTGAGTTTGGGGGTGATGAATCATAAGGGGGTTCAAAAAATTAGGGGGGGGGATTTTTTTTCCCTTTTTTTCTTCTTTAAAATTTATATATAAAAGCAAATAATAATGATATGGTTTGAATAAGTAAATTAAATTTTTTTATGTTCTTAGACCACATTCATTCTGTGTCAGAAACCTATGCTGAGTCAAATATTTAATCACAATCCAAATTCAGTGCTGTATCAAGCTTGAATGTTGTGTCCATACTTGCCCCAACTGTTCAGGGTTCGACCTCTGCGGTCGTATCAAGCTGTGCCCAGTGGAGCATTTTATTCGTAAATTGTTTTGTTATGAATTAGGCAATTATTTTTCTCTATTGAATTGTTTCATGTCGGGGCCTTTTATAGCTGACTATACCATATGGATTTTATAGGACAGCAAAAAATTTGTGTTTTTATAATGCTATCATGTCCTCGTCCTTGTCAGCATCGGTGTTGGAAGACACATTTGGTTTCTAGACAATGCCTTTAGTTTAAGTGTATGGATCTCTATGAAATTTTACCAGAAGGTTCAATACCACAAAGGGAAGGTTGGGATTTGATTTCGGGGGTTATGGTACCAACAGTTTAGGAACTTGTGGCTAAAAACAAGCATTTTTGTAGCTTCCGGACAATAACTTGTGTGTAAGTGTATGAATCTCTCTGAAATTGTACCACAAGGTTCCATATCACAAAGGGAAGGCTGGGATTGAGTTTGGGGGTAATTGCCCAAAATGTTCAGGAATTAGGGGCAAAAAAGGGGCCAAAAATAAGCATTTTTCTAGTTCCCAGACAATAACTTGTGTTTAAGTGTATGGATATCTCTGAATTTGTACTACAAGGTTCCTTACCACGAAGGGAATGCTAGGATTTAGTTTGGGGGTAATTGCCCCAAACATTTAGATATTAGGGGCAAAAAAGGGGCCAAAAACAAGTATTTTTATACGACCGCAAAAAAATGTTTGCGATGTATAATGCTATGGTGTCGTTGTCAACGTCGTCTGAAGACACATTTGGTTTCCGGACAATAACTTTAGTTTAAGTGAATGGATCTCTAAGAAATTTTACCAGAAGGTTAAACACCACAAAAGGAAGGTTGGGGTTGTTTTTGGGGGTTATGGTACCAACAGTTCAGGAATTAGGGGCCAAAAACAAGCATTTTTGTTGTTTCCGGACAATATCTTTTGTGTTAGTGT